AACTGGGAAGAAGTCACTGCAAAGTAGGGCGAGGGAAGCGGGGAGAACGGTCCCTTGTCTCCTCAGATTAGCAGTAACATAGACCCAAGAGTGGGAGGGAAAGTGCCGAGTGACTGAATCCAAGAGCAGGCAATTAAACTTCCTTTGTCTGCTTAACTTGTGTGTGGCAGGACATGGCTTCGAATCCCAGATCTCGGCCCTGAGCAGATCCCACCCTCCACGAGCTCCCATCTTTCCTAATAGTTTGTAGATTTTTTTTTTTTTTAAGTTTGTAGATTTTTTTTTCTGATTGCTGTGCAATCCTGCATAGCATAGGCTAGCAAACTTAACTTCAGCCTCGAGCTCACTGCTTCTGTTTTGAACTACCAGGTCTATGAGAGAGCCACTGGCCGTCTTGTCTCAGGACTGATCAACAATCGGACTTTGAACTGACTTCAGATTTCACGATGTGGTGCAGTTGGGGCAAACTGTTTCCAGAGCTTGTGCCGATGCAAATTCTTATTCCCTTCCTGGTAGGGGATACCCTACAGTGATGCCTGTTTCCATGATGCCTGGAAGCAGAAAGTCCAAACTGCCTAGCTCTGCTGGGCATTGGCACAAGAAGAAGTAAGCGTTTGGGGGTGATCTGAATAAAGAAAGGGACGTGACTGGCTGGAACAGACCAGGAGGGGGGTCCTTTCACAAGAGGAAAGCTTGCACGTCACACTAATTGTTCCACGTATCAGGAGGGGGTTCCTTTCACAAGAGGGAAGCTTGCACGTCACACTAATTGTTCCACGTAGCTGCTTTTCTTTCTGATTTGGTCTGTGTACGCAGCACACATTGTGCATGGAACAGGGCATCCCTGTCTTGAGACCCTCCACTACCTGTCTGAGCCACCAAATCAAGTCTCAGTTTTCATTGCCCCATATCTCTATCCTGCTTTCGCACAGCATCCCACCTGAGCTCTCTCCCCACTTCTTTCCTGCTCATGATCTCACCATTGTCTTCAGCAGAGAAAGGTCCGTCTAATAGTATCTCTTCTACCTGCCCCCTTATTTGCTTTCTTTAGTGTCAGCTCGGATTCCAACTTTTCTCTTCTGCGTTCCTCTCGTTTCCCCTGGACTAATTCCTCCAACCTTCACTCCACCCTTTACCTTTCATCCTTGTCTTGCTGTCTTCTCCTGAACCTCTCCCCACATGCCACTGCTCCCCTTCTCAACTCAGGTGTGTGCTCTGCATCCTCATTCTCTTTTCATTTGCTCTTCTCTGTGCCACAGGTTCTGTCTTGCACCCTTTGAGGCTTTGTGCTTTCTGAAATATGCTTGCAAATCAGAGGTGGAAAGCGAGGTTTGAATCTCCTTGCCAGGACAATGGCAGGCATTTAGGTTAAACATCAAGAGTAAGTTCCACCTTAACATTGTTGGAATTGGCGGACTGAGCTGAATTCAGTTCAGTGCCCCGGCTCCAGCAGCAACCCATACCAGATGCTACATAAGCAGCCCTGCAGTAGGCTGATGTGGGCTAATCTGTGTCCTTCTGTTGTGCTCCGAAACCCTAGGGACTGGCTTTTGAGAGGAGACCAGGTGCTCTAGATCAGGAGTGCTCGACCTTTCTGCCCCGTGGGCTGGATGGGCAGTGCCCAATCTGTCCGCAGGCTGGATCTGGCCATTGAGCCCCATCCAGCACGTGGCATGGGTGAAGCTGGGTTCATTCTGGCCATGTGGGAGCAAGTGGGGCAACCCAGTCCTTGATCCTGATCCCGATCCAGCTGTGCGGTGGGGAAGGGGGCATGCCCCAGCCCTAATCTGGCCATATGTGGGGAGGGGGGGGGAAGAGGGGCATGGCTCAGTCCCAATCCAGCTGCGTGTGACTTGGAAATTTCCCCCACTGCCAAATTTCCTGACCTGTGGGGAGCCCCGTGGACTGGCTGCCATGTCTCCATGGGCCGGATTTGGCCTGTGGGCTTGGAAGCTGAGCACCCCTGCTTTAGATCCTTAATATCTTTTTCTTATATAAGACCCACCTTCAAAAATGAAATAATCCCTTCTTTCAAGGTGAACCCAGATACTTTTTCTCTACCACTTCAGAAATAGTCACCCAGGGGAGCTTAGACGGAGGTACTTGGTGCGTGTGTGTTGCTGTTGATTTGCAAGGAAACAAATAAGTGACTTATTGAGAACGCCTGGTGTGCCCAACCTTGGGCAATGTTATTTAGATTTTTTTTTTTTTTTTTTTTTTTTTTTTTTTTTTTAAAGGCCCTAAAATTTTTTCTTTGTAACTTTGGGGGCTAAAATTCCTTTTTTCCAATGAAAGTGTCAATGATTATTACATAATCACTTGACTCCAGGAGCTGGAGCTTTAAGAAAGCCTTCGCATTTCATAACACCTCATGATAAAATGGAGAGCATTGATGAGACTTAACTGCTCCTGGCACCTGGGTGACAACCATTGGCAAGGAAAAGGGTTAAAAACCTCTCGTTAAACAGTTTGCAGGGGGTGGGGACCTTTTACCTGAAGTAAAACATAGACCCAAGAGAAAGCAGCCTTGTGTTTAAGCCGCTAAGTAAACAGTGTAAGCCCTTTTGCGGTGGGGGCAGAGACTGGCTCTGGCTATAAACAGACATTGTTCTTGGACCGGGATCGGCTGCGCCGGGATGTGTCCCCGCACAACTGACCCTCCTCATTGGCAACACAGATGTCTCTTGCTGTCCCTCAGGGTCAGGCCCTGTCACTCCCAGGCCTGGGGCCTGATCATGTCGGACACCTGCAGAAGGAGGAACTGATTCAGGGCATGCCTCTGCAAATGGAGCACAGGTTGAAGCATGATAGCACAATACACACCCCCAAGGAATCCCCTGCCAGCGGATCTGCAGGGTGTGCCTCTGCAAGCAGGGAACCCAGGAGGGCAGTCCCAGGGCTTCAGGGACCTGATCCTTAGGCACCTCGGGAATATCCATGCATGGGATGGGGCTCCTAAAGCTCTAGGTGTGCCTGCCCAGGGCAGCTGGAGAGCATGGGCAGCTCTGGTCTGGCCGTACCCTCCTGCCATAGAGCAAACAGACATCCACTGCAAAAAAGCAGCACACATTTTAACTACGTATTACTACAGCCACGATTTTATGCATTTGTAGCACAACAAGGGGCATGGACATCTGTTTGCTTGGGCTTCATGCCACCATAAGAATTTTTATGGTGGCACAGAGATGATATCTGTTTTCAGCTTTTGTTAGGTATTTGTATATTCTAACATGGTGGGGTGCTGATCTGCGACTGGTGTCTTAGGCACGGTTTATTATTAGGCACAGGTTATTAGACATTGCATTAATATAAAAAAAGAAATATACTTTCTGCCATGAGACTCTGGGATTGTCTACATGTGCATTTATGCTGGCTTAACTAAGTTACTGCACAGTAAGTGGGAGTAGGCCAACGTCTATATGTGCAGGCGTTAAAATGCATTAACACTGTGTGGGTGTCACAGATGGAGGAGTGAGTGCTTCCAGCAGTGACTCCCAGGCCCAATGGGAGCTTTTCTGCTGCTCCTCCACATTTGCCTTTGAAGTCTTCACTACAAGCAGATAACCAAGCAAAGCACAATATCTCTGCAGATTCAGTAAACTGATTTTTTATATATATATATATATAT